CTTTAGCAACATAGCAACAGAGTTGGGTATACGCAACAGAGGCCAGAGACCCCACAAGTCCTGAAATATTAAGTGTCTGGCCCTTTACAGAAAATGTTTGCTGACCCTTCTGGAGAAGACATTAGGAATTCAAGTGCTGTATGGTTGTCTGGATAAGATAACCAATAATGGTTACTTTGGTCCTTAGAAAAGTGCTTGGCATATCATTGTGTCAAAGATTGGGTTGTGTAGGTTCTTTGCTGTACAAGGCAGCATAGCCAAGTTGGTGGGTGGAGGTCAAAATTCATAGTGTGCTAGGATTGCAAAGTTGTGTGCCGTGATGTGGGGCTATGTCTGCCAGGAAAAGGACACACATTTGTCGAATTTGCACAAAGGCACCCAGTGGACCCACAGAAGCGGTACACATCATAACCATGTCAGCAAAAATAACATCCCTTCCAATCCAGAGGATCTAAGATTAATAACACTGAAACTCAGCTTCTCCTAACCCGGTGTTTCTTTATGTAAACGACATGGAAATGAAAATAAATGTTCCCTGAGAAGAGTTTTCATGATTTATAAATGCTACAAACTCTACCCTCTCTTTTAGAAAGATTCATTGCAAATTAGCATAGTAAAAAGTGACAGAAAAAAAAAATTCCGAGAAGTAATATCAGTTAAAAACAAACTAAAGGGGCCCAATTTAACTTCAGTATACACAAAATTTTCCAAAGTTGTTTAATTATGAAACCCTTTTTTATGAAATTACTGTTAATATCTCAAATAACTAATGTCCTAGGGGATGATGCTCTATTAAAGGCATAGGTAGTGCTTCGGGATTACAAACTCTCTGAACAGAAAATACATACTCTTTCTCATCCCTTACAGATTTTAGCGCATTGGTAAGCACATATATCATAACCTAAGAAATTATTGAATTGATTTAATTCTAGGAGATCTACCTAAACAATTTGGTGAACATAATGTTAATTTCATTAATTAAAGCAGGCTTCAATTACTCATGTGACAGGTGGACACAAAGTTATCATCCTCTTTCCATTGAATCCTTTATTAAACAGCGTAACAGCAAAATAACCCTGAAAAAGTATATTTCAAGTATGTTGCCTCTGCTCTGTGGTATATAGTTCAGCATGTAAAACTATTCAAGACATACTAGATGATATTTTTAAGGTTAAAGAATTGATAAATTCCCTAACAAACTGACAGGACACATATCAGAATATAGGTTTAACAAATTCAAAGTCAGTAAAAACAAATTACCTGAAGAAGGTGACAAAAAACTGCACAAGATCCATGATTGTATTGTGTTGTGAGAACGCAATCTGAAAAATCAAAATAAAAGAAAGTTTGAAACTTAATGAATCGTGTTTTCCTGCAGTACCTGTGGTGATGTTTCATGACATTTGTAAATACAATATTTTTAAATCATCAAGACATTTGGATCACCATATTAGACATCATAAATGCCGGAATCAAAATTTCATCTAGAACACCTAATCTATTCAACTATTAATGATGACCTTTGCATAGGCTATAAAATTAAATGGTTTAAGAAAACTAATACAAAATTACTTCAAGAATGTATGCAGAGTTGCATGTAAAATACTGATAATTCAATGGGCCTAAGTAAATCAAGCAAATGAGTTTCTTAATCTAATAATGATTACATTTTCTGTTAATACAATGGATAAGTACTTATAATCCAAAAATAAACTTTAACTCCATGAATGAAACTGAAGGGATTTGGTTTTTCCTATATATTCTTGTCTAGCAAAGCTGCATGCATACATGCACTATTATACACCACTCAAAGGATACAATATGTCACCTCATTTTATAAATTCATGTTAATAAGAAATGAATTTTGAGAGGTGAAACTAGCCAATAAGCTAAAGCTGTCCTCCCTTTTGTTAACATTATACAGATTATACTGTAACACATTTCCTCAGGAAGTATTATATAAGTTATTAGTCAATAATGCAGCATCTGAATAGAGAATATCTGATTGTCACATTCAGGTTTTCTATTACTAGGTATAAATGCTTTGAAAAACTATGTAGCCTATTTGTATCTCAGTTGTCCCACATGTGAACGGTAATAACAAAAGCACCTACTTCATGGAATAAAGATTAACTGAATTAATAGAAATAAATTCTTGCCATAATGTCTGGCATATAGTAGGTATAACACAATAAATATTATTATACTTTTACATCGTGTATAAATGAGATGGTTAACATCAGTGAGTTTTCCCAGATAGCTGAAGCGAAATAGTTAAGGTATTGAAATCTCTTTTTCCTTTAATGTTTTATGAAAATATTTCAGAAACATGTAATAGAATTTCCACTTCCAGTGAAAATAGACTAACAATAATAAGATTTCTCTCTTGTCTAAAGTAACCAGAAAACTATATAAAATATATTTTAAAAACATTTTCAGACATTGGACAAAAGGCAGAAGAGGATATAATCTATGAGTGAAGAAAACCAAAGATTAGCCTTACAACTGCCCCAGCTTTCAGTGCAAGGTAATAACACTAAGGAATTTAAACAGCATTCTAAAAAAAAAAAAAATCAGTGTTTCTTATGTAAAATAAACAACTACTGTCATTTGAGAAGATGGCTCAAATTTTGGCATATACATCAAAGCTTAAATAGAGCAAAGTTTCATGTCCAAAAAGCATTTGAAGAATTACATAGCACTTATACAGAAACTGAGGGAAGATCATTGCTGTAGGAGACTGGTTATAGGTGAAATGTCTTAAAAGATTTCAAAAAAAACATCTTTTAAAATGGAAAAGACACAAGTATATTTTCTGCCCAGGTTACTGTCCACAAGAGTGTGTTAGAAACAGAGCTTATCAAACAATAATGTCAACAGTACCTAAGTCCAGGAAAAAGAATTCTGGACGCAGCAACTGAAAACTAACTGGATAATCACTAAAAGGATAATTATCTTTAAATTATAATAAATAAAACTGATAAATTAGAATAGGAGGTAACCTTAGACAGTGTTGCAAAATATCTAGATGAAAAACGGGATAAAAGAGCTGCAATAAAGGCCTGAATAAATTAGCAAATGTGTGAAAAAGAACGAAGAAGAAATAAAATAAATAATACATAGAACATAAAAATAAGGGAATAAGGTAAAGAACACAAGCAATTGCACTAAATATGAATAGACTGAGTCATCATTGAAAGGCAGAGATTTCCACAGTATATTAAAAAGCATAATTCAGCTTGATGTTTTTGTTTTACAAAAAAAGGATTGTGAAACAATAGGCACATAAAAACAACAGAAAAGGCATAAAGGATAATACTAATAGCAAGGTGGAATTCAAAGTCAAAACCTGATCAAATAAAACGGATAAGGCACAAAGAATACATAACAATAAAATCTGTGTGCAATAAAGCCACAGCCCAAATAAGTAAAACCACAAGGTGAGGACACGGAGACTTGATAATAATATGATTATGGAATAAAATTTTAATGTGATATCTCTTTCAGAACGTATCTAATCAAACAGACAAAAAGGTATTCAGTCATTAAAGTCATGAAAAATTTTCAAAAGAAATACTGGTTAAGCAAGCTCTAAGTGCCAGTGACACCCTTGTAAATAAGACAATGTGCCTGGTCTTTTGGAGTTTGCATTTTAATAGCAGGAGACAGTAAATAAACAGGTAAACTCATAAGTGGAGATCATAATTTTCAACAGTGATAAGTGTTCCGAAAAAAAAAACACAACATGGTGATGTGATGAAGAAAAAGAATATGTGGCTAATTTAGATCAGGTAGTTAGGGAGGTCCTCACTAAAGTTATGATAGATGAGCTGATATCAAACAGTAAGAAGGGTAAAACCAGATAAAGATCTGTTAGTAGGCGCTTCCAGGCTTGGAGGAGACTATGCTTGGGCAAGACATGTTTGAGAAACTAAAAAGAAGTCATGAGAGCTGGAGTATTGTGAGCTCAGAATACAGTAGTTGAAAATAAGCTCAGAGTGACAAGCAGGGGTTAATTTACCTAGGTCCTTGGCCAGGATAAAGAGTAACAAGTATAAACTCATAGGGATCCCACGGAAGAGTTTGAACCATGGAGTGACATGACCTAACACTCAAGAAAAAGCATCCTTCTGACTGCTGGGTGGGGAAGAGATGACAGAAGCAAGCAGGGAGGTCAGAGAGAAGCATATTGGATTTTCCTAGTTAGGAAGTGATAGCAGCTTGCACAATAGCAGCAATGGAGACAAAAGTTAAGTAGATGGGCAAGCAATTCAGAGTGAGAGGTGCGAAGGCTTCGTGAAGAATTGGATTGACACATTAGAAATTCTAAGGGGAAGTTCAAAGCCATCCCATTATTAGAGCTAAAAGAAAGTGGCCAGTTAGGTAAGAAAAAAAAAGTGTCAAGAATGTCAAGGAACAAGAATGTTGCAAAAAGGAAGTGCTGGTTGGTTTTCTTGGTTGAGTAAGATGAGAAAGAGAATATGGCTATTAGATTTGACAACATCAACTACGTGGTTAAATTAAACAAATGCACTTTCAACCAAGTGGTGGTTAATATTAATCTAAACAGAGTAATATACGGAGAATATGGAATGTGAGGAAGGAAAGACAGTAACCACAGACTGAATTTTCAATAAGGTCTGCTAAAAAACAGAGCAGAAATAATCAGGAATATCTAGGATCTAAAGCAAAATTCTTTTCTGAAACTTAAATAGAGAATTTAGAAAAGTAGTTAACGTCCACTGTGCAAAGAAACTATTTAAAAATTCTCAAATGGCAATGGTTTTCGGTGCTATATTACCAGACGAAGATCAAAATTAAAACTATAATTTCAAATATGACCGATACAAGCTTAAGTACCTATAAATTAAGAAATATAATATATGAGGCAGAGTTCCCTGTAAGCAGTGGCAATAGTGTAGTTTTTAATATTCCTGAGTTTCCACAACACACACACACACACACACACACACACACACACAAACTAAACTGCAAAATCAAAACAATATATGGAAAACAATTTCAACAAAGTGGTGTGACAAATTATCCCACTGAATGCCAAAACACAAACAAGGTATTGCAAGCCACAACACAAGGCTACATAGTACCAGTGTCTGCGTGGGAGTAAGAAAAGGGTATCATGGGAAAATCCAAAAGCCCTGATACTCACTGGTACCAGGCAGGCCAATTTGAATATAGAAGGTGAAATTAAAGTGGCTTTGCCCAATCTAGGAGCTTGAGTGCAAAGGGTCCTTGGGAAGTTCTAAAAGGGGCTAGAACAGCTTGGGCCACATGAATTTTCAAAAGCTACTATTCCAGGATAGGCCCCATATTGAGGAGAAACTCTTGTAAATGAAATAAAAATTGAACAGAGCAGGGAAAATAGAGACAAAGGAAAGAAGGTCCAATTGGGGAGAAGAACAGAGCCAGGAAATCTTTAATACGCAAGTGGCACATTTTTAGGGGAAAAAAACATATTTCATATATATATATATATATATATATAAACAAACAAATGTATACACATTTTTAAGATATGTTATCTTAAAATGTGTACATTTTTTGGCACCCACTGTGTGTGTGTGTGTGTGTGTGTGTGTGTGTGTGTGTGTGTGTCTTGACACTGGTTTCTTTACATACTATTATACCAATGGAAGCCATTATTATACCTCCCAAATATTTGTTGTCCTTTAACCTATAAAGGATACTGTATTCCATAAAGATAATGAACGCAAAAATAGTAGGAACAACCAACACCACTGAAATAAATTTCGACTGACAAATCACATGATTCAAGCTAGTACTGGTTTACTTGCCTTTTCTGGGGCCATCTAACTAAGTACCTTGGAACAAAAATCATGTTTTGAGGCAAGTAAGCAAAATGTAAGACACTCATGAAAACATCTACCATTTCCTGTATTTTCCCAAAGCATGCTATGTGGGCACTAGAGTCTCAGGTTGAACAGCATTCGATGTTGACTGTTCAAAAAGAATTCAGTATGACAATGGGTTGTGCTAATCTTTCCAAGTGTTTTTCCACCTGAGGCTTTTTATAGGAAGTCCCAGCCTATGGGAAACAATGTGTTAGTCCATTGTCAGACACAGGCTTACAAACAAGATTGGATTCTCTCTGGAAATGGAAGGCATATCCAAGGATGATCTGGTAATATTGGCAAACAGTGCCAAACCTCTCAGGATTCCCTCTTATAGGGTGCCAATTTATTCATCAATCACACATTTCAATTAATATCTATTACATTCTGGGCACCGTGTCAGGTTCTTGGCTGTATCAATGGAAAGGAAAAACAACACAATGAAATTC